CCATACATCCCCTTATATTTTCATGTATTACCCATTGATAAGTCATCATTTGTCAATCTATTTCTATTTGAAAGTAAAGATTTTCGAACAAAGGAAGATATCCTTCGATTATTTCACTAACCGAAATAAGCGAAAGATGCCACCATTCCATACAAAATAAACTCACGTGCCTGTGAAGACTTAAGAGGAAAATCCCAATCAATAACTCTCTGATTAATCCATATACATTTGAAGAATTGTCATCGAAAACTTTCGACTTTCATAAAAGAAACTAAAAACATGGATTCACCAATTTACACTAACCCTTCAAACGATACATTCATTCATACTTCTAATTTAATGAGCCTATGATGGATTTTTCTTCGGCAAAACTAATTTGCTTACCCTGTGTACCGGGGCTCTGCATAAGGATCGTGGGATCCCCCTATGACACTGAGGCGGTTAATTCTCCAAATTCGCCTCTCATTTGACTTCAACGCTTATTCACCCATCATCACCGCTTTACATATCTCCTCATCCTTCTTCGCTCAAATCCCCTTGTAAGTCATCCTCTTACATTCAGAATTCCGATCTCCTTGCGAGCCGCTGAGTCGCTTACTTCAGCGAAAATGTTGTCAAATGATTTTTGAGTCTTTCGCTTACATGTCATTTTGTGAAAAAAGTGCCTCCCAATATGTCAGCGCAATCCCCTACCCTCCAGCCACGGATCAGACGTCTCTTTCTTTCACCTACCCATTTCCCGGACCATATGTCAGTACCTGATACCCAACCATTATACATCAGACCTAAGCAGACAACCACACAGGCCACCCAATTTCATTTTTGGCGACGTGAATTATCTACTCTCATTACATGTCTTCAGCGAATGGACACTACCCAGTAGGAACGACACGAGTGTCTCTCGGTCAGAGTTGCTAAAAGAAAATTCATGAAATTTCTTTTTTCCTCATGAAATTTCTTCCCACCGATAAATTTTTTTCAAACATTGTCCCTCATATTCAAGAAAAAGTAAAATACATACCTACTTACTGATCCCAAATCCACCACTTCAAAGTTCAAAAATACAGTTACTGTCCTTATGTATCAAACATTTCCTATTTAAAAGCAGCAATATGTTCCCGAAGGCAACTATTAAATACTGGAAAATCATTTAAATTGTTTCAAGGATAGGTTAAGATCGATCCCTCCCCTTTGTACCAAGAAATAAGGTGAAAGTATTAGGGGGTACTAGAATGCTTTATAGTCCATAAATTTGATTCTTTCCAAGTATGAAACGTAACGTTTCACTACAGGAATCCGTAAAATTTATTTTGGTGTTAAACCAGTAAGTCTGTGTGTTCGAACGAAATTCTTAGAGAAGAAAAATTAAAATTGTCATATTGCTGTTTTACTAAACTTTCTGGACATTTCTAAAGTTCCTTTTCACTGTTTACCACGTCCGTATTAAGAGACTTAAGGAGATTCATAAGTTTGTAGGGTATAATCCTGAATTATGTGTGTTAAATGAAATTTCTTGAAATTTCATGAAACTTCTTGAGATTTCCTCATGAAATTTCTTTTAATCATCTTTCACGAAATGTCTTCACTCGGCTCTCCGTAAATCCTTGTCTCCAGGCGTATGACCACTTGCCGATACTTAGGAGTCGAATTTCAAGGTTAGGTTGAAAAGTCATCAACCACTGGTCACGAGGGCCACGGCCATTTGAAATTTTTGACCATCCCCCTACCCGTCGAAGTGTTCCGAGGGAATCAAAAACTGGAAAATATTTCAACAATTCTCTCCCTCAATACGAAGAAAAACGTCTGGAACCTCAAAAATGTACTCAATTAGGGTAGTTAGGGGTAAGAGTACGAATTTTTGCGTTTTGTCCTGTAATTTTCCGTCAACGAATCGACTTCGTAAGACGGGAAAAGTCGTCAAGCGTCTACTGCAATCCCTCACCCACAAGTCCACCCCGTTGTCCGACTTTAGAAATCAAAACCATGATCAACCGTGACGATTTTTTTTAAAACAATTCGAAAATGTTTACTTCGCCCTCGTGTAATATGGCAACAGTATACAGGTGAAATTTTCTTCCTAAAAACATCACCTCCGGTCCAAATCGCTGATTTTACCCGGAAAACGACTGAATCTCGTGTCAAACATTTCCATCAGCCCCCAACCACTTTTACTGTGAAAAAAAAATTACTTAAATGATTCCGTCCCCAAAACGTCGCAAATAATTTTCGAAGGCAAAACTTCTTTTTTCAGGAAATTCACAAAGTATTACTCCCATAATTGAAGGGAGGAATAAAAATAGCAAAAAAATCTCTCTCTTTCGCGGGACAAGTTAATTTGCCTCTCAATTCCGTCAAAACAAATGCACTTCGCATTAACCTTCTTCCACACTTGAAACTGAATGTTCCAAAGAACCAACACCCGGTAGCTGAAGGAAATAAAAGGTGGTGTTGCCGTTTATGGGCCGAAATATGCTCCTGCACGGAATTGAGAAAGTTTAGGGTATATGGAGGTTGACCGTCCATATTACACAGAAATAAATCTAGTTTTCTCCATACTCACGTTTCTTGGATACGTAAGAAGGGCCTAAACATGGCTCCGGAGCCGAAATCGGTGAAATTTCTCGATTTTTGTCGTTCTACCTAAAGTTTCCACACACGGAAAAAATTAAATTGCTGATTTAACAATTCAATTGCTAAAAAAAGTGACTGCAATATTCCAAGGTAGATTTCACAACACAAAAATGCTACTTTAACCACTATTGTAAGCTAATTTAACCACGGGGGTGGTTAAAGTAGCATTTTTGTGTTGTGAAATCTACGTTAAAATATTGCAGTCACTTTTTTTAGCAATTGAATTGTTAAATTGGCAATTTAATTTTTTCCGTGATGTTACCAAAAACGACGGGTGTAGAGCTCCGAATGTGGTGTAAAGGACACCTAGCCACGTCACATACTCGAAGATGCTCAACCGTCGCCTGAGCGCCCAAGTTCAAAATCGAACTTTGCCCACTTTTTAGCCCGAAATAGCTGCAAATCCATGTTTTCCCCAGTTCTACTTCATATTTCGACCTGGGCGGAAAGGCGACGGGTGATGAGCTTCGCATATGGTGTCATCGGGTCCATGTCGAATTCGACGTAGAACCGCGAAAAACACGGATTTCCACCGATTTCGGGCTGAAAAGTCGGAGAATTTCGATTTCGAAGTAGGGCCCAAAGGCGACCGTTGATCATAGTCAAAGTGTGCTACGAGTCTAGGTGTCCTTGACACCATATTCGAGGAGGCGTCGCCTTACAGCGCACGTCGAAATGTTACCTACAACGAAAAAGAACCCGAAATTTCAACTGTTATCGGCTCCGGAGCCATGTTTATACCTTAGTTTCTCAGCCGAAAAACGTGAGTATCCGAATAAATCGATTAATTATGTCAAACATTCACCGTCAACTGCCGTACATCCAAAAAATTAACATTCCGTGTAGGCGCCGATTTTGTCCCAAATCGGAACCCCTCCTTTTTTTAAATTTAAAGAGAATACTTTATTGTCGACGAAAATCATTACATTGTTCCTTTCACACCACTTAAGCTGGACAACGGCCTAACGACGGATCGGGAAAGTGACTGAAAAGTCAAGAGAAGGTATCGTCCTCGCAGATGCAGATGCAAAGGAGAAACAAAAGCTAAAAAGATCGTAAAAACTTTGAATGACACACGTGCACAAGGGCTCGTCACTGTGCTGGGTTGTCAGATCGATCAACTTATATTTATTTGTGCAAAACACGTCTCCTCAATGATACATCTTGATCAATAGTTGTTCTTCTTACAACAGCGTCGAGTGGAGTGAAGTTGACCTCCTGTCGTCCGTATGGGTATAACGTCCGCGTCCTCGCCTCCTCAGTGCCAACTAGGGACAGATTAGTCGTACTTCGTGGGGAGGCAACACTTCCAACATGTTGTAAAATCGTGGAACAATCTCGTTTTGTTCAAACTAGTTTTGTGTTGCGGGTGCGGGGCTCACTTTCGTGCGAAAAAAATGGTAACCCATTCAGCAACATTGTTTCACAACAAGTGCAACGTGCCCACAGAAGGTCACTTTTATTTTCTTCAAAAGAGGAACGCGGTTACTTACCCTAAAATTCGAAGTTCCTCTCTCAATGATCGTTCAGAATCGCGAAAAAAGGAACGAGAAGAAAAGGAAACATTTTTTTGTTTCGAACCAAACAAGACTATTTTTCGATTAGATCTACCATTTGGTGCCACGGATGAAGGGAAACCCAGAATAACCTTCACCAGACGGTTCACAGGGTACTTCAGCCTTTCACCCTCAGACCATATATCAGCCGTCAGAATGCATTCGCTGATAGCCGCTTGGTCAGTCTGTCCGCCAGCTGATTTCTTATGAACACATCCTTCACGACAAAAAACTTTGCAACTTACAATCTACAAAAATAATATTTTATGTCGATACGCTTCCATCTTTTGTGGCCTAAAGGATTCTTCGTTATACTAACGCAACCATGATGATGATGTTCACAAATGGGGATGGTCCTTACAACGGCGACATCAATGCTGGGTAAAAATGAATATAATCGTAAATACAAAAGAAATCATTTACGGCACGATTCAGAGACAACAATAAACAGGTGACTGAATACACATTGTTTTTTATTCCTTCCCCTGCTTCTACCCAGGAACTACTCAGTTTCTACTAGAAACGTGACTTATTATCGGAATCGGATTCTAAGCCACGATTTAATCCATTGCGTGTTCGATTCTTCCTTGGAGAACCCCTCCGTATTCGGAAGAACGTAATTCAGTCAATCGTGTTTTAATAAACTAGGTCCAATTCTTCAACACGTATCCTCTTCACTTACGTAAGGAACAGAATATATGATCAGTAACTTCTGTATTGAACACCGATTTTAATCCTTAGCGTGATCCTTATTGTTATTTCCCCCCCCCCCACCCACCAAAAAATTAAAAATGTATCACTTTCATGTTGCAGGAGTTTGAGGATCTGAAGGATTTTGTGGCCCTCTTCTCTTTCATCGCAGAAAAGCTTGCAATCGCCAAATGAGCACACGCCTGATACACCATGATTCCAATATTCACGGGAAGACTGATTTTCCTACAAATTTCATCCGATTGCCGCTGATCATTAAAAATTGATTCATTTTCTTTATTTCCGCAAGACAATGTTTTTTCTCCTGTGTTGTCCTCGATAAACCAATAAAAGTTCACAATTCCTTTCCACAAATACGAAGTTGATTTTCGTCAACCTTCATCTCCGAGTTTTTCCGTATCATACCCAACATCAAATTCACTACATACATTTCACCGAAAAAAAAAAAGATGTTAATTTGACATACCGCAGAATGTTTAAAGAACTTATAGGATTTTCTGTTGCATCAACTTCTTAAGCAATTAAACTAACATTTTCGTTTTGTTACTTCAACTAACTGTGCATTGACTAATTTGACATCTGCCAAAGAATGTTGAAAGTTTCTAAACATTTCTAAATACCTCATTTTCGTCAACCTAGTAATGGGCAATTTCAAGGGAAAAACGCAGCAAGAAAAATACGGGAAATTCTATCCCTTATACGTAAAGGCGATACAGTCTTAGTCTTCATCACCCAAACAATTTGAACATTATATATTAAGCAGATAATCAGAAGACATAAACTAAAGTTAGGTAAACAAAACAACAACAATCATGGCGGTCACTTTCTCCCGGACGCTTTTCCTAACCTGAAAATCTGTATGTCCGTGAAGTTAGCAACCCGACTTTTAAAATTTTAAATTTTCTCTTTTGCTCATCATCACTCATCATTTGCTCACCCCGAAAATCGCTTTCATTTTTTTTGCTCAGGATTGTACCCCCCAAAAATCGAACTTGAACTTTCAGAGAGGTCATTGACCCTAGAACCCCCACTTTGTCCGATTCACCTGAAAATCGCCTCAATCATCAACGCAGAATCATTTGCTCACATTTGCTCAGCCCTTAGTTCTTGTTGTTCACCCCTCCATCCCCCTCAAAATGAAAAGCGGCATTTTGATGGACATCAAAGGCAACAACCCCACTCTGTCCGATTGACCTGAGATTGGTGTCAAACGACGCAGGATCATTTCCTCACCTTTGCTCAGCCCTTCGTTTTCGTTGCTCACCTCCCCTTCCCCACCAAAATGAAAGGGGGCATTTCGGCGCACATGAAAGGCAGCGCACCGAGTATGTTCAACTGCCATTCGTTTTCAGGAGGAGGTAGGATTCCTGCAACAAAAACTAAGGGTTGACCAAATGTGAGCAAATGATCCTGCATCGTTTGACACCAATTTCAGTTCAATCGGACAAAGTGGTGGTGCTGCCTTCGATGTCCCCCAAAATGGCGCCTTTCATTTTGCGGAGGATGGGGGAGGTGAGCAACGAAACGTAAGGGTTGAGCGAAGGTGATTATATTTATGACTTTTTTATCTTTGAAGAGATAAAATCAAAAAATCCTCATAAAATTGAAAAAAAAATTCGAAGAAAAATAACGAATGGGCCGGGCGGCCGTTCATACAAGTGGTAGATAATAGGGTGATTATCGTCTCCCTTGCACATATACATGAACAAGTATCATCGTCAAAAGGAGGATCACCTTCTTGAAATCGTCATTGAAAGATAGACCGAAACATATTCACACATGAGTGAACAACTTAACAACTTTCAAGCAATGCCATATTCTTTGTTTGTTTCTGATAGAAGTCCTTACAAACTACTGAACCTTGTCGTATTATTGCGATTATGATGTGCCTCCTACTTACAATGCTTCTTTCTTAGCAACTTCATGTATGTTGGCAAGACCGGGTCGGTCACCCATGCCAAAATGTCGTGGCATACTAATGTATCTATTTGCCCCCCTTTTTTTTGTACGTGGCGGCCGGCCCATTCCTTTTTTTTTCTTCGAATATTTTTCCAATTTTATGACGATTTTTTCTTTTTTATCTCTTTTAAGAAAAAAAATTCATTACAGTTCTCATAAGGAACTCCTTGACCTCTAAACAAGGACATATACTAAGGGTCAAGTAATGATCAGTGTCTCCTCAGCGACGAATCGGAAGGTCTCGAAAAAATTATTGATCTGAGATGTGAAAAAATTGGGGTGTTCCGTATATTGTATGGGCATGAAAGAGAAAATTGTGCCGTTTTGATATCATTTCCTTTTAAATGATGAATCCAAACGGTACTGCCATCATATTTTTGGGGTGCCTGGTTTTTTTGTTGTTGTTTTTTTTTGTTTTTGTTAATTAGTGACATTTTTTTGATTGGGCCGAAATTTTTTACAAAAATCATATTTTTCTTATTTTGGAGGGATATCACGGATTATTCGTTAAATTTAAAAGTTGTTCCCGCGGGCGCGAGGTAGGGAGGAAACGCCCCCCCCCCTCGAAAGAAGCTCACCTTTTTTTACGGAATTTCGTTCAAACCGCATGACGATAATCTGTAATCGTTCTGGAAACATCAATAAGGAAGGATCCAGATTTTTGACACACCTTGTACGTCAAAGAAAAAAAAGCGCAGGTCAATATTGAAATCGTGTCAAAGTTGGGTCACTTGCATTGACGTATAATACAATGTAGACGGCCCATTGGGCCCGACTTTAGGCGGGGAAGATAAGACAGCTAGGGTGGTAAAGACGCCCCTTCAGCCTAGTTGATAACGCTGGATATACGAGCTTAGTGTACCCGTATCAGGCAACGGCACTGATAAGACTGCCATTTCCATTGTCTCGGTCGGTACACTTACTGAGTGTTGCTGGGTTGCTTATCGTCTCGTCTCAAGGGACTGTAGTCTTTCCGAAATTTTCTAATGCGCCGTCTAGCTTGTATTATACGTCAATGGTCACTTGACGTAATGCCTAATTCTCACTGGCTACGAACGATAGAAACTACAGTAAAGCGCATTAACCCAATCTAGGTCGCGCGGTAGGTAAGACAGCTAGCGGGGTAAATCAGTGTAAAGACGCGCCTTCCGCTTAGTGGATACATCCGGATATACGAACGAAAAGTACCCGTATCAGGTAACGGCACTGGCAAGACAGCCATTTCCATTGTCTCTCGGTACATATAGAATACCATTATAGACAGAGTATGGCCATTTCTGTTCGGGTTTTTCATTGGTCGCGAGGGAATAGGCTAACACGATCCTCTCAGGGCCGTAAATAAACAAACAAGACGGCTGTTATCAGCAAGCAAGATTGAGGTTGCCGGCCAGGTTGGCCTAGTGGTCAGCGCGTCTGACTCTAGGCCAATAGGTCCCGGGTTCGAATCCCGGTGGTGGCGACAAATTTTCATGGAACTGACGAGTGGATCTGCAGAAACAGATTCTACTCGGCTTTAATCCCTGAAAATTTGAAAGCCTGGACCATGGATGTGCCTAAACCCCATGATGTCTAAGGACAATAAATACTGTCTATCGATGGCTGTAGGTTCCAACGGAATATAAGCCACTAAACCAGCAAAAAAAAAAAAAAAAAAAAAAGATTGAGGTTATGCACATCTTATACATCCACCTGTGATAAAGGTGAAAGGCGATTCAACAATGTTTTCGTGTTTTTTCGTGTGTTATTCGTAGAAATCCTAGTTTAAATTGTTACTGCCGTATAATTGAAATTTTTGTCAAATTTAGCTTCTTATCCATGTTACGGTGAGTCGCCATCTTTTTTGTTTATATACACCGAAAAAAAGTAGTATGCTATGGTAGCACAGGCCTATGTAAATTTGACATTCTCAGTATGCTGAAAATGTGTCTGGTTGGGAGAGATGCTGGCATTACATCCTATCAGTATGCCAACAATGCATTTGCCGCTTGCCAATATTGCACACGAGCCATGCTTTCAAAGCAACCCGCGATGGTCGGTTTAGATCCTTCAGATTGCTGATAGTGCATTCGGCATTCTGTTTTAGCATTTTGGTATCTGTCAACATTGCAGCCACCACTTTGTCGTGATTACATCGACACGAGTTGCTCGGATGACAGTTTAATATTTTTCTACGGGGACAACTCCACTTTTTGCTCTGATAGCATGCTACACGAAAAAAGAAACCTCGTGCATGGGACCCGCAGTTGAGGTTTAATAGATCTCTGAAGTTTCCTTATCACGCACCCGAAAACTTCACGTCGAGCTGCCGAACTTCGAGTCAGACATCGAGGCCCTTCGGTATGTACCGGAGTACTTCAGGTGTGTGACTTGAACCTTTCGGTGTATATCGAAGTACTTCAGATGTCTGACCCAAACTTCGGGAGCTGGACCTCACGTTTTCAGAAACGTGATCTGAAAACTTCAGAGATCCATATGACCTCAACTTCGGGTCCCTCGCACGAAGTTTTTTCTCCGTTTAATGTGTTGCTGTAACAGTCGGTTGAATCCCTGGCAAGTATCAAGGACATTTGAAAAAGGAATTTTTAAAGAAAACTCGGGAAAAAATTGTTAAAATTTTCATTTTAGGAGACCTTGTTTGCTCATTTTGTGAAGCAAAGTTTAACTCTATGAAGAAATTGACTTCCAAGTTTTTTAACATTTTTACCATTGAAACACAATAATTTATATTTTAAGAGTTTTTTTTTTTAAACACTATGAAAGAGTTATATTTAATTTAACTTCATTTTGAATAATGAGCAGAAAAGGTCTCCTGAGATACAAATTTTGACAGTTTTTCAAAAAGTCTAGTATCTTTTAAGATTTACAAGTTTTTTTAAAATGTTTTCAAAGAGTCATTGCCACGAGATTGACTTTTCGGAATAACAAGCACAGGTTGCTGCACAGAAAAAAAATCAAGTTTCTTGTAGCATAAGTTCATCAATTTTTTTAAAGAAATCTTGTAAATTATATAAACAAAAATAGATATGTAAAAATCAATGAGAAGGAGGTGTCAATTGATGAATTCCAGCGCATTTGACAACATAAATTTTAAATAATCCCGCTAAGAGATTATTTTTTTCAAGTTTCACTATCTGTACTCGTGGTCAAAATGTTACGTTACATTTCCGTGGAATTTTTCAAAGGAAATCAGACCCACGGATTTTTGGACCAAATATTTCGGTGACCATGATTTCTCTGAAGCTGGTTTCCGTGCCCATGCTTTCCTTGAATCTGGTTTCCGTGCTCTGTCAAGAAACTAGCTTACATGGTTTACCTGCTTCATGGCACGGAAATCACATATTTACACATGCAAATAATTGATCGTGCAGTTCTTGGGCAAAGAAAATATTATTCGCGTTCCTTAAGAAAGTTGTGTTTGAGAGATGCACACTACAGTTGGAACTTTTACTAAGTACACTAATGTAACACTTTTTTAAGAAAAGTTTACATGATTTTCTACATTTAGCGAATGGTCTCCCAAATTGCAGTTAAATTTTTAGGATGAGCAATTTATGATCTTCTCTGCCGGGATCTCACAGTCTTGTTCTAAACATGAAAAGGAAATGCATGACTCATTAAAGGTCCATAAGCCCCCTAATTTATTCTCTACCTACTTAAAATGTGACATTGAATTAACGTCTTATTGAGGAAAAATCATTAGCCTTACTGTTTTGCGATGTGTGAGCTTTATTTTACGAGCATAGCCAAATCCAAAAACTGTGATCTTTTAAATTTTATTTTTTTCCCTGAAAAAGAAAAAAGAACTAAAAACACTCCTAATTCTTACCATTAAAATATAGGGACGTCATTGAGTACAGACTCACGACCAAAATCTACTGCCATTTCTTCAATCTCACAACTATCATGATACCTCTGAAAAAATTTCAAGTCGATTGTACCATAAATTTGCACGCAACGGGAAGCTCTATGAAACTAGTACAAAATTGCATGTTCTCCCATTCCTAACCCTGTGTAGGGGGATGCGCGGGCGTATTCCTAGCGCGGCCCTTAAAGGGTTAATTAGTAGGTTAGCTTCATGGACCACAAACCGTGCAGAAAAGCCCGGTCGCATTGTTTCGTGTTAAACTAGTTAGGCAGCAGCCACTTTTTGTTTTTCATTTTTATTTTTTGGGCCGTCATTTTTTAGGGGAAGTTTTTTAGGATTGGGCCGGGGTGGCTACCCCCACCTAGAATATGGCCTGCTGTATGGTGTTATACTGCCGGCAGTATGGCATATTGCCGGCTATATGCGCCCTCATACTGCCGGATGTATGGCATACGGCCGGCCTTATGAGCCCTCATACTACCCCCAGTATGGGTGATAGCCGGCTATGTGAGCTCATACAGCCGGGCGTACGGCTTAAGGCCGGCTATATGAGCGCTCATACGGCCGGCTGTAACGATTTCATAGCCGGCCATATGAGTTTTACAACCGGGCTATAAAACTCATTTAGCGACAATCAAACGCATAAAGCTGGCCATGAATCTAATGTTCGACAACATAATTTACACAATCTCATACTTTGGAGCACAACTTCAAAACGCCTTCAAATCTGCGGATACCTAAACAAGGTTACTTTGAAGTTACTTAAATTGCATTCTACATAATTGAAGGCACTTGGAAATTTTACTATTGTCACTTAGCTGCTCATCCCGTTTTTCCTCTGGTTCAATTTGTTCATCTTAATGGATCAAACTGAATAACAAATCTAACTCTTTTTTGAGGCTGCTTCCAATCTCATTCAAGAGATTGATAATACCTTCGTGCTGTTTTGGGGGTAAGGAATCGCCTGTAAAATATGCTGACTTTTTTTTTGTTAATTTTTAACCCCTGCCACCTCACCCTCTGCCCATCCAAATCACAGGAATATTTACATTAATCCAAGAGACAATGGAAGCAGCTTGATGCATGGGTGAACTCAAAGCTCCATTAGACGATGAAGATTTTTTTCTGTAGTTACGCCATTCAAAGAGAAGACAAAATAGCTGATTATTAGCAAGAATTGACGTGTTCTCAATGAAAATCATAGTCCCAGGAGAAATGTTCACGCAGTATTTAGTCATCACTGCTTAATTATATATTGGACCACCACTTACTTTAGATAAACACTCACACCATAATTGAATAGTTCATTTTTAGAGATAGATACATTTTCATTTGTATCACTGTCACAGCACGTAAGAAGAAAGGGAGAAAATGAACACCTGGAGATTCACTTAATAGAGCGAACAAATACAGCATGTCAACTATGTGAACTACACTGATGTGAGAGTGAGTTACGAATTTGGTTCTGTGAATTATGTGAAAAATTGATGCTGAGAAATTGCCGTTAACCCCCTGTCATGGGCTTTCCACGTAGTTAAAAAATTGCAACCATGACAGGAGGCGAAGGACCGTGAGCAGTAGAAAGTGCGCGTTCTTAGATTCAGATCCGCCTGGGTATTAAGACCATATTTTGTCGCAGATATTGACCCTCTCAGTCTGGAAAAAAAAGGAGAGAAAGGCAACAAAATCAATCTATGATACACTTGGAAAGGAACATGAAAATTTCATTATCGTGCTAATGCACCTACACTGCTATGAAGAGTGTAGGAGATGTTAATTTCTTGACGTTGGAGAGACAGGAAAAAAGAATGAAGTAAGGCGTATCGATCAGTTAATGAAAAGTTCTATGTACTAATATTTCTAAGCATCAGGCAGTTTTAACGATTTCTAATGTCTTAGTTTTACTCCTGTGTTCTTAGCAAGACGTCTCGTTCAGATTAGACATGAAATTAATATCAGCAGACAATTAAAGATGGGAACCAAATTTCTTTCACAGCTGAGCTGTGTTAAAGTCACATGGTTCGTAGAAAGTATTCAGTAAACGTACATGTCGAATACGCGGTTTTGTAGGAATAGATGTAGTGTTGTAGGTGGATTGTGGAATGTGTGAACATTGGAGGTTGAATCCTGAACAGGAAAAGGGTACTTACAAACTGGATTCAAAAGAACGCTTGAATATTTGAAATTTTGTGAACCACATAAGATTGTAACGATTAATCCGGTTACCTGAAACTTGTCGTTTACTGATTAGCAATTCGTTGTGGAAGTCTCGTACACAGTTTGCAATGTAAATCATTTTCATGGAGTTAAAAATGCTTAAGAAAACCACAGACAAAAATCCACAAATCCATAGTTTGTAATAATTTCTAACCTTAGCTTAGATTTTAACGATCGAGTACAGCCAAATTTTCTACTCTTCAAAATAAGACACCTCTACACGTAATAAATCTGCAATGAAACGCACGTCAGATGAGTACTGTTACACAGCTGGGTCATACAGGCGTGTTCGGTTTCACCTTCAAAATAATAATCATAAGAAATCTAATCACAGTGATGAATCCCGGAGCAACAAGGTCGAAGCCGACCGCTTCCAATCGCTCCTCAAGTGAAAATGTCAGAAAATTATTTATTTACCTATCAGACAACACCTGAGAGATCATCTCATGCAATTTTGAAGATGATTGCAGGCTTTCAAGTTGGGCTAGCCCCCATATTCTATGTACTCGAGTACCAACCTCTTTCTATTTAACTCGCAGAACGGTCCATGTGAAGCTGACCCCTTCCGTTCCCTCCTCAAGTGAAAATGTCGGAAAATTCCTTGTTTAACTATCAGATAACACTTCAGATATCGTCTCATGCAATTTTGAAGATGATTGCAGGCTTTTAAGTTGGGCTAGTCCCCATTTTATATGTACTCGAGTACGGAGGTTTTTCTTTCAAATTCGCTGAACCGTCGATGTGAAGCCGACCGCTGTTATTAGCTGCTCAAGTGAAAATTTCGGAAAATTCTTTGTTTACCTATCAGACGACCCTTCGGAGATCATCTAATCCAATTTTGAACATGATTGCAGCATTTTAAGTTGGGCTAGTCACCATTTGATATATGCTCGAGTTCGGAGCTTCTTTTTTCAGACTCGCCGAACGGTCCATGCGAAGCCGACAGCTCCCATTAGCTGCTCGAGTGAAAATGTCGGAAAATTCTTTGTTTACCTATCAGACAAACCTTCCGAGATCATCTAATGCAATTTTGAACATGATTGCAGTCTTTTAAGTTGGGCAACTCCCCATTTGATATATGCTCGATTTCTGAGCTTTTTCTTTCAGACTCGCCGAACGGTCGATGCGAAGCCGACCGCTGCCATTAGCTGCTCAAGTACAAATGTCGGAAAATTCTTTGTTTACCTATCAGACGACCCTTCGGAGATCATGTGATGCAAATTTGAACATGATTGCAGTTGTTTAAGTTGGCCTAGTCCTCATTTGATATGTCCTCCAGTTCGGAGCTTTTTCTCTCAGACTCGCCGAACTGTCGATGCCAAGCCGACCGCTGCCATTAGCCGCTCAAGTGAAAATGTCGGGAAATTCTTTGTTTACCTATCACACGACCCTTCGGAGATCATCTCATGCAATTTTGAACATGATTGCAGTTGTTAAAGTTGGGCTAGTCCTCATTCGATATGTGCTCCAGTTCGGAGCTTTTTCTCTCAGACTCGCCGCACGGTCGATGCGAAGCCGACAGCTGCCATTAGCTGCTCAAGTAAAAATGTCGGAAAATTCTTTGTTAACCTATCAGACGACCCTTCGGAGATCATCTGATGCAATTTTGAACATAATTGCAGTCTTTTAAGTTGGGCTAGTCCCCATTCGAAATGTGCTCGGGATGGAGCTATTTCTTTCAAACTCGCCGAACGGTCGATGGCAAGCCGACCGCTGCCAATAGCCGCTCAAGTGAAAATGTCGGGAAATTCTTTGTTTAATTATCAGACGACCCTTCGGAGATCATCTAATGCAATTTTGAACATGATTGCGGTCTTTTAAGTTGGGCGAGTCCCCATTCGATATATGCTCGAGTTCGGAGCTTTTTCTCTCAGACTCACCGAACTGTCGATGCCAAGCCGACCGCTGCCATTAGTCGCTCAAGTGAAAATGTCGGGAAATTCTTTGTTTACCTATCAGACAACCCTTCGGAGATCATGTGATGCAAATATGAACATGATTGCAGTCTTTTAAGTTGGGCTAGTCCCCATTCGTAATGTGCTCGGGATGGAGCTATTTCTTTCAAACTCGCCGAACGGTCGATGACAAGCCGACCGCTGGCATTAGCCGCTCAAGTGAAAATGTCGGAAAATTCTTTGTTTACCTATCAGAAGACCCTTCGGAGATCATCTAATGCAATTTTGAACATGATTGCGGTCTTTTAAGTTGGGCGAGTCCCCATTCGATATATGCTCGAGTTCGGAGCTTTTTCTCTCAGACTCGCCGAACTGTCGATGCCAAGCCGACCGCTGCCATTAGTCGCTCAAGTGAAAATGTCGGGAAATTCTTTGTTTACCTATCAGACAACCCTTCGGAGATCATGTGATGCAAATATGAACATGATTGCAGTCTTTTAAGTTGGGCTAGTCCCCATTTGAAATGTGCTCGGGATGGAGCTATTTCTTTCAAACTCGCCGAACGGTCGATGACAAGCCGATCGCTGCCATTAGCCGCTCAAGTGAAAATGTCGGAAAATTCTTTGTTTACCTATCAGACAACCCTTCGGAGATCATGTGATGCAAATTTGAACATGACTGCAGTCTTTTCAGTTGGGCTAGTCCTCATTTGATATGTGCTCCAGTTCGGAGCTGCTTCTCTCAGACTCGCCGAACTGTCGATGCCAAGCCGACCGCTGCCATTAGCCGCTCAAGTGAAAATGTCGGAAAATTCTTTGTTTACCTATCAGACAACCCTTCAAAGATCATGTGATGCAAATTTGAACATGATTGCAGTCTTTTAAGTTGGGCTAGTCCTCATTTGATATGTGCTCCAGTTCGGAGACTTTTCTCTCAGATTCGCCGAACTGTCGATGCCAAGCTGACCGCTGCCATTAGCCGCTCAAGTGAAAATGTCGGAAAATTCTTTGTTTACCTATCAGACAACCCTTCGGAGATCATGTGATGCAAATTTGAACATGATTGCAGTCTTTTAAGTTGGGCTAGTCCCCATTCGAAATGTGCTCGGGATGGAGCTATTTCTTTCAAACTCGCCGAACGGTCGATGACAAGCCGACCGCTGCCATTAGCCGCTCAAGTGAAAATGTCGGAAAATTCTTTGTTTACCTATCAGAAGACCCATTGGAGATCATCTAATGCAAATTTGAACATGATTGCAGTCTTTTAAGTTGGGCTAGTCCCCATTTGATATATGCTCGAGTTCGGAGCTTTTTCTTTTAGACTCGCCGAACGGTCGATGCGAAGCCGACAGCGGCCATTAGCCGCTCAAGAGAAAATGTCGGAAAATTCTTTGTTTAACTATCAGACGACCCTTCGGAGATCATCTAATGCAATTTTGAACATGATTGCAGTTGTTTAAGTTGGGCTAGTCGTCATTTGATATGTGCTCCAGTTCGGAGCTTTTTCTCTCAGACTCGCCGAACTGTCGATGCCAAGCCGACCGCTGCCATTAGCCGCTCAAGTGAAAATGTCGGGAAATTCTTTGTTTACCTATCAGACAACCATTCGGAGATCATGTGATGCAAATTTGAACATGATTGCAGTCTTTTAAGTTGGGCTAGTCCCCATTCGAAATGTGCTCGGGATGGAGCTATTTCTTTCAAACTCGCCGAACGGTCGATGACAAGCCGACCGCTGCCATTAGCCGCTCTAGTGAAAATGTCGGAAAATTCTTTGTTTACCTATCAGAAGACCCTTCGAAGATCATCTGATGCAATTTTGAACATGATTGCAGTCTTTTAAGTTGGGCTAGTCCCCATTCGAAATGTGCTCGGGATGGAGCTATTTCTTTCAAACTCGCCGGACGGTCGATGACAAGCCGACCGCTGCCAATAGCCGCTCAAGTGAAAATGTCGGGAAATTCTTTGTTTAATTATCAGACGACCCTTCGGGGATAATCTAATGCAATTTTGAACATGATTGCGGTCTTTTAAGTTGGGCGAGTCCCCATTCGATATATGCTCGAGTTCGGAGCTTTTTCTTTCAGACTCGCCGGACGGTCGATGCGAAGCCGACAGCTGCCATTAGCTGCTCAAGTGAAAATGTCGGAAAATTCTTTGTTTACCTTTCAGAAGACCCTTTGGAGATCATCTGATGCAATTTTGAACATGATTGCAGTCTTTTAAGTTGGGCTAGTCCCCATTTGATATATGCTCGAGTTCGGAGCTTTTTCTTTCAGACTCGCCGAACGGTCGATGCGAAGCCGACAGCTGCCATTAGCTGCTCAAGTGAAAATGTCGGAAAATTCTTTGTTTACCTATCAGACGACCCTTCGGAGATCAGCTAATGCAATTTTGAACATGATTGCAGTTGTTTAAGTTGGGCTAGTCCCCATTATCTATGTACTCGAGTACGGAGCTCTATCTATTTAACTCGCAGAACGGTCCATGTGAAGCCGACCCCTTACGTTCCCTCCACAAGTGAAAATGTCGGGAAATTCTTTGTTTACCCATCAGATAACACTTCAGAGATCATCTCGTGCAATTTTGAACATGATTGCAGGATTTTAAGTTGGGCTAGTCCCCATTTTATATGTACTCGTGTACGGAGATTTTTCTTTTAAACTCGCCGATTTTAACCACGTATTATAAACCACCTAATTGACTAGGATTTTGCATAAATTTATTCGTTTTTGGGAAAGATCGCTCATTTATGTACATTCTGAGTCATCTTGGTTAGAATCGGAATCTGCAGACTGGCAGTGAAATTTTGTTCTTTACAAGTTGGTAAGAAGGGTGGCTGCACTTTTGGGCACAAAGCCGCCCTCCATGAAGCGGGGCTTGTTCTACAGTACTTGTATAGGGAGAGTAGCGACAGATCGGTTCATGGAGGGCTTAGGGCCCAAAAGTGCTGCCACCCTTCTGAACAACTTCTAAAACTAAAAATTTCACTGCCAGCCTACAGATTTCAATTCCAACCAAGATGCCTAAGAATTTACATATATGAGCGTTCTTTCGCAAAAATAAGTAAATTAATGCAAAAAGTAAGCCAAATACATGCTTTCTAAACGACGGTTCGTAAGAATTGTATTTGTAAATCGCTCTGGACATTCAAAATTCATAGGTTGGCTGCATTCTTGGGCCAAAACTTTATCCGCGGAGGCATCGGTGAACGCCTGATGGACTTTCGGAGTTTCAGATCAGTCCCTTCTCTCCCTATACAGGTACTCTAGTCAGTTCATACTTTCTCTATATAACCCATTATTTCACAATGATGCCATATGGCAACATTTGTTCTTTTATTTTTTAAAATCAGGATGTAGAAGATTCTTCGATGTATTTGGTGATGCTGG